CACTGACAAGTCGCAGGTATCCTTAAACAAGTGCAGATTGCTACTTATTATATTTTAAGTAGAAATCACTTAGGGCGTTAATTGCAGAGGTGCGTGCCCGTGAGCCGTACTTTTTCGTGATCCACTTCTGGAGGTTGAGCGATTGCATTTAATATTCTTGGTTCTTTCGACGCGGCCTCCTCCGACTCACCATTTGTTATGCATTTTCTACTTTTTGTACTTTACAAGGCTTCTGCCGGTCACACCACTACTCCGCCGAGAGACTTCCCAACCGCTGCTGTTGATGCTCGTAAGCCGTCAAACCGACCTTCTCAGGGAGCATCTTCCGATCTCAAGTTCGTGTCTTCCTACCCGTTTCCCCCGAAGCCAAGGACATTAGGTTACGGAGGTACAAATCACCCAGCCTTCATCAGGCTCTGCTTGGGAACGTTTCCTAAGGCCTACTTTTGATTCGCATTTGTTTGCTATTATTATTATTAATTTCATCAACTTTTAGTCCTCATACACTTTATATATTTTGCCTTTTAAAGGATTAACGAAGTGTATTTTTTCAGACGGCCTCCATCTTCCAGAAATTCTGCATTTTAAAACCTAGAACCTCCCAGTACTCGAAAAGGTTTTGAAGCACGGCTCGCGTCTGTATATGCTTCAAAGGATTTAAAAGTCGATTGTGTGCAAATCTCTAGTTTCTTAGACCAGAATATGTTATTTTTGCATGCAGTTGACTTCAAGAATGTAATTTCCTTTGAGACCAATAAACGCCTCTCTGGCCGCGTAGGTTTTCAAGCGGTGTCATAGTCCGTTTCAAGAAACGCTCCAGTAATTTAAAGTGGGCACTTTTTATTTATTTTTCCTGTGGAAAAGAATTAACCGGTAAAAAGCACGGAGAAAAACAACTGTTAATGTTTTGTATTTTTCTACGAATGGTATCAATACAAGTTTCTGTGTTGTTTTTTAAGTGAAAGTTGACATGCCGTCATGAGATTATTTTCCAGGCCTATCACTTTTGAGAGCCATTTAGGCGATGCAAACAATGCGAAAGAATATTTAAATATTCCAGTTACTTAATGTTTGGAATAAAAATTGCCTATCTTTTTATTCCCCCTTTAGATTTGCCGGGCTTTGATAGACGCGCAACACCGAGCCTTGATAGCCAGTCAGTTTCTTGTGACGAGAAACAACAACAGTCCCTAACCTCCGCATTCTTCCCCCAGACTAACACGGCTAGGTGATTGACCAGTTGGCGCACTTACCCTCCAATTACTGAATTTTTTCTACTTCTCTTCTAAAGCTCCCCACAAGTCCTTCTGGCCCTACTAGCAGTCCTCTCAGCCTTTCCTCCCAGGCACAAACTTACAGAAGAAGGGAACTTTCCAGACACACACACACCTTTAAAACCCACTCCGGTTTTGTTTCATTGATTTTTTCCTCCTTGTCTACCTAATCTTATTTGTGACTGTATCCACAGTCTGGTCTTTGGTTTGCTGTCCTTGGTTGTTCAAACGATTTCTTTGGGTCGTAACAAACAGTTGTCTCCCTCGTTAAGTGTCTTCGTTGGCTTATAGTCGCTTCAACGGATTGGGAGTGCATACATGGTTCCGACTTCCTAAAAGCACATACAGGCCATATTATAATAAGCTATTTGCTGGTCTTAGCAAGTATGATTACTAGAACTAGCACTTTAGAATAGACACGTGCTTATAGCAGCAGTATCCTAGTCCTCGTAGTCCGAACGTGATAGAAACGGGCACAGCCTGACGAATATGAGCCCGTAGCGTTGATTTAA